TTTCCTCTCACCTTTTAGAACAGCACCTCTATTTTGCTACTACCTACATTTTCAACCACTTTCCCCACCCCACAAACAACAAAGCATTTTCAGCAATTTGCCAATATGGGTCAAACAACTCCGTAAGCCTAACGATTGGGCCATTTTTCTTAAACACCACTTGCTGTAGTAATGATTACAAATCATCCAGCGAGGGCCTACTCTGAACACCCCTACCCTCCAAAGATAAAAAAATTTCCAGACCTGTTGACTGTTCAATTCAGTTCCCACCGTTTTATCGACTTTCGACAGCACTCACTTTCATACTGAAATTCCTACTATATTTTTTTTTTCTTAAAAAAAAGGTCGATGTCTCTTAGCTACAACTAGCTAGTCTTCAGGCATTCCACATAAACTAAAAGAAAGAAATATTTCATATAAACATAATAGGCTCAAAAATCCGAACTGGTGGGAGGCAGACCAGTTGGCTATTTGCAAGCATGACCGAAGAATCGAATTGGGCTCCACCGAGAAACAACTCCGGCTTAGCGGTCACAGTGGCACTTGAACCCGCGATATCCGGATTTCAAGTCCGGCGCGCGGGTTAGGCCTTCAAACTAATCCGTCACGAAAACGGAGCTTTTCGAAAACGCTTTTTGACTGGAAGAATTAGCGTTTTAGTGTGGACTGAAAACGAAGCTTTTGGAAACCGATGACATTACAGTGATCATGAGATTTCCCTGCCTAAGTTTTGCACAAACACAAATGTAAAATGAACGGTGATTGTTGCATTTTCAAATTCCTCCGGCGTAGTGTGGACGAGGCCTGAAGTGCTCTCCAAACTTCCCGCATGCATCATAACTCAATGATGGGCACTAACGCACCAATTACTTTTTTAATTTCTGCCTTCAGTTAACAGTCTTTACAATATACGATAAACAATGAATAGCGAACAGAAGAATTTCGCTGTTATTTCGATCCATTCAGTACATCCGTCGGTATAAATTAGAGCTCTGCCAAACTAAATACGTTACAAAGGCGTTCAATTCCAAATAAAAATGGAAAAAATTAATCATAGTTGTTCACGTTTTCCAAATACTTAGAACATGGCAACCTCGTTCCCAAGGAAGAATTTAAGTGGCAAATAAATGATGGTGGTGGTGGTGAAAGGAGACCCTGGGAACGAGGTTGAGAACGTGGTTGGTCGTTTCGAATGCTACCTGGAGTATTCAGCACCCAATCGAGTTCGCAACCCTGAACTCGTCGTTATTAACTTTCTATTTTGTGTTCGCCTTCACCTTCAATGTATTAAACTAAAAGAACGAGAAATAAACATGTTTTGTGTGATTTTGTTTCATTTTGCCCACAATGTTGCCTTTTTTGCTCGGTGAGAGAAAGATAAATTTTAAGCACTTGATCGCTTGTTGAGTCGATGTGGGTGCGAATTCGGTGGGTGCGAAACCTCCAGCTACCGTCATTTGGAGTTATTAATATGAGAGAGCTACTAATTAATGTATTATGATGCATCAGGCAATTATACAGCCACGTTTTTCTCATTAAGCCTTTTGTTTAGCGACGTTCTGCTTGCCGTATTGGTTTCCAAATAGGAAATATTTGCATATATATATAAAGAAGAAAACTAATTTCCCAAAGGAAGGAAATTTAGTTGTGATATCAGTATGAAAACACTGGATGGTCTGTATGTGGTCCAAGAAAAAAAAAAGAACAAAAAACAAATGCAGAAAAAACGGCTGAAAACTTGTCTGTTTAAATTCGTTGTAGTTGTAACTGACGATGATAGAAGTTTAACTGTCGAAACATGTATATTTAAATCTGAAAAGCGTTGTCCTTTCTTTACAAATTATTTGTACGTCTAGAGCCTGCTGCTAAAAATACCAATATAGAAATAATCTTTCTGTTTGCAAGGACAGCAAGTGTTTTGTCGACACGGTTGAGTATGGTATACGCGTGAGTGGTGATATGTGCAAGGTTTTTATCATTAATTTTCTCTTATATTTTTGTAGAACAATGATCATTATTAATATTCAGATCGATTCAACTGATCAATACAGGCTCTATTTGACCTATTTGTTGGCTACATGTTCAATGAACTCGCCATAAGTGTGAGAAACTGCCGCGCAAATACTGGCCTCATTAGATATGGTGGGGCAGTAACATCGTAAATAAAAAAGCTCGAAGAAATCTTTAAGAACTAGTGTAATTCTGATGCCACCATTCGAACCTGCTGATTTTTTTATTAAGAAAAGTAAAACAAAAAAAAAAAACAGCTATAACATTTCTAACATTTCTGACATTTCGTTTTCCTTGGACCGCTGGGCGACCTGCCAAGCCCGAGTCTTTTTCAACGGAGCGTAAATATTGCATATCTATTTTTGTTTTCTTCATGTTACTTCAGATCCCATGCATTATTTTGAATTTCCGCCGGCAGATGTAATTCTGACTAATAATGCCGAGTATCTTGCTGAAACAAAGACAATATATGCCTCCATGACCGGCTATTGTCAGCCAGCGCCAGCAGCCTAATCCTCATGCTCGTTTCCAATATCACATTTCAGCACGTAGGCAATTATTTTCCTTTCGTGTCGATCGCTCAATTATCCCATGACCAAGCAAGCTTATGCAATTCATTGAAAACAACTTACTGTTTGCTCTCTGCCAGGGCCACCGCCATGCTTGGGCTAAAGTTCCGAATAGGGCAATGAACACAAAGAAATTCATATCTTCTGTGCAGTTTGTCGGATTCGGACAACAGAAGGGTCCCAGTGAAGAAGCAAAAGTCGCTCAAGGTCAGTCACGAATGTGCAGAAATTGGTGACCCCAGGTTTTATAATGTTTTAACTGTTCTTTGATGTCATGAGCCCCTTAACCAATAATAATTGTCATTCCCAGCCTTTCAGGTTGGGAGAAAGCGAGGGAGGCTGGCGCGAAATTGTCATCATCGCAAATTAGCAAAGAAAATTAAGAAAATTAAAGTGACCTGAATTGTTGTTCAAAGCGGATAAAGAAAATAAAATTGAACTTGGTGCTTTTTACGGTTTACTGGTTTCGTTTTAGGACTATTGCTCTTGCACAAATTTATTTTTCGCAGTCGAAAAACGACGTCGTTTCATTGGACTTACGACTTTGAATTTCAGACTTTACACTTAAAACTTCAGACCCGTGCATTGCGTGGGTTTCTAAAGAAAACTGTCGGGTTACGATGAGCGCCCGGGATGAAATATAGTATATTAGCCTGCGCATCAAGCGTTCCCGTATGAAAAGTTTTTCCGCATTCTGGCCGCGCGTAAATGATATCAGTTGTGCATAACTCTCAGGCTAAGAAACAGAGCAGAATTTTGCGCATTTAGAGTGGTGCGAAACCAGCAAAAGAAAAATAATTAATTAACATTTTCAAACAGAACAGCGGTTTTTTTTTTCTTTGTTAAAGGTGGATTGAGGCCACGAACTCGACGCGGGAGAATTTCCGGCTATCAGCGCTATAAATCCGTCATGGACATGCAGCCTCTATGATCAAGCGCACAATCGCGGGAATTTTGACTTTGTTGTTGAAATTTGTTCAAAATGTACATAAGGATGCCTTCAAAAGTATTTTTGAATCTGTTATCGGTGTATAATTGACATTGTTGTGTTCAATTACTGGGTCTTTGTACACTTACAAATTACAGAGGGTACGTGTTAGGGCATAAAGATATAAAGTCAGCTATCAGGTTTCGTTTTCTTTGGAGGGTTAGGTGCCCCTTTGCCTTGCAAGGGGCGTGTACATTACTGATATCGTGCTAGCCTCTTCAAGGCGTTCAGTTAGTTGGGGCGCAGCGCGAAAAACGGCGAGCAAAAAGTAGGGGAGAAGCGCGGCGAGAAAGCGCAAGACTTTCGCTTCTCCCCTACTTTTTCGCTCGCCGTTTTTGGCGCTGCGCACCAACTAGCTGAACGCCTGAAAGAGGCTAATATCATGCACACTTACATTGCATTCTAGGCGGCTAAATTTAAATTCCTGCGCCCTCGCAAAACCCTCGTTCGCTCGGTACAAAGGCCTTTGCAACCTTCATCAGTTTTTACTGATGGTTTCTGCCAGAAAAAATCACTTTCCTCTTTTCATTGTGGCTTTATATCTCTCGCATATTGTCCTGCTGCTTTCAAACATCACTTTAAGTGAGAGATTACGCTCGATTTGAAGACCAAGAAATATTAGTTTCACGGTACAAGTTGTTTTCAAGAGGTATAATTTCATGATTCGGTTTTTACAATTAATTGAGCAGCAAATTAAAACGAGTGATCAATTAAAATTACAATCCGCTGAATATACTTACAGTCTGGTCTCTGCCACCATGCTTGTGCACCCGATCCCAAAATGAGGACAAAAAGGATTGAATACATGTTGTTTTCAACTGATCGATGTATCTGCAGCTTCTTTGCGGCCAATCTCTGATAATTTTAATGGTTTGTGATGGGTTTAAAAGGCGACCGGACCGAAAAAGGTGTTTAAACAAATGAGCTTAAACAACAATCGGAAAACACAGCCATAGAAATTACTGAGACGGGATTTTTATGTTTCACGTTTTTTTAGCTGCAAGAACTTAATATTATTTCACAAAAGAAAAAAAACGAAACAAAACAATCAAAAAAATATTCTAACTAAAGTGCCTGAATTTCCGAGAATCTTATCGAGGTGAATAATCTTCTTTCCTCTGTACATTGAAACTAAATAGGTATATATATTAAGTAAATAAATCACATTTTAAATACACGTTTTTCGTCTATTTTCTGTTAATTTGTGATCAGCTAACAAAAATTATTTTGTCTCCATTCAGTGGGATGGCTCAACATTAATCAGCTGTGGATCAATATTTTTAAAGAACAATTGAAATTCTTTTAATGCTTCTCAGTTAATCAAGCAAAAGCAAATAAAAAGCTTTCAAAGAACACATCCACATCTGTGTTTTCATTCCTTTTCTTCTGAATAAGGATTTACACTGCTTGGTTTATACAGTGAAAAAAATCTATCTTTCCAGGCCACAAGAATTTTGATTTTTAATTTGTCGCCCGATTTGTTTCGGGGGTGAATGACTCGCGGTCTAAAGTCTACTTTAAGTCTAGTAACCCATCAAGCCGGTACTTTTCTCCGGTTTCAGTAGTATGAAGCGACTGGGGGTATGTCAGCTTCCCCCCGGATCGGATGCTTGTCTATTGCAGGGTTACCCTAAGCATTTTATTCTCCGATACTCATTTATACACCTGGGTGAAGCGAGGCATGTTTTGTAAACAGGACACAATGACCCTGGTCACGACTCGAACCCAGGAACACTCAATCCGGAATCTAGTGCCCAAGTCTGTAGGCCGCCGCGTTTCTCACAGAGTTGAAATTTTGCCATCACTACAGTGTGGGGCCAAGTTTTCGGCCGGGCCCAGTTCTCGGCCGGGCCCAGTTTTCGGCCACTTTTTGTTCAGCGTTTATTTTTCGCGCCACAAATGAATCTGAATAAAAAGCAATTGCTTCAAAAGGTAGCTTGATTCCTTGTCTTCCGTTCTGCCGAGTTTTGTTTCGTCCTGCCAAGTTTTTCTATGAGCACGTCGAGGTGACGCGAAGGTAGGTGAATTTGGTTTCTCCGAAAACGTGTTTGTTTACGGCTACTAGAATTACAGGGTTTAATTCAAGTTGATATTTTGTCCGTCTAGAAAGCCCAAATGAGCCAATTCTTGGCATAAAGGACGTAGAGTGATAAAGCTATCTGTTAAATGTAAACTTTTCCTGGCCTGT